TTTATGAAGTCAGTGACATTAGTCTCCGCAAAATGCGGGGACTCGGGAGCCAACCACCCCCTCTGTGGCGCAATGGGCTAGCGTGTTAGGCTGTTATCCGAAAGGTTGGTGGTTCGAGCCCACCCGGGGGCGTTCAATTCTTTTCTGTAGTCAGTGAGATTAGTCTCCGCAAAATGCGGGGACTCGGGAGCCAACAACGGCCTCCGTCGCGCAATGGGCTAGCGCGTTCGGCTTTTAACCGAAAGGTTGGTGGTTCGAGCCCACCCGGGGGCGTTCAATTCTTTTATGAAGGCAGTGAGATTAGTCTCCGCAAAATGCGGACACTCGGGAGCAAACAACCGCCTCCGTGGCGCACTGGGCTAGCGCGTTCGGCTGTTAACCAAAAGGTTGGTGGTTCGAGCCCACCCGGGGGCGTTCAATTCTTTTATGAAGTAAGTAAGATTAGTCTCCGCAAAATGCGGGGACTCGGGAGCCAACAACCGCCTCCTTTTCGCAATGGGCTAGCGCGTTCGGCTGTTAACCGAAAGGTTGGTGGTTCGAGCCCACCCGGGGGCGTTCAACAGAAAAAAAATTGAACGCCCCCGGGTGGGCTCGAACCACCAACCTTTCGGTTAACAGAAACACACATTGCGCCACGGAGGCGGTGTTGGCCCCGAGTCCCCGCATTTTGCGGGACTAATCTCACTGACTTCATAAAGAATTGAACGCCCCCGGGTGGCTCGAACCACCAACCTTTCGGTTAACAGCCGAACGCGCTAGCCCATTGCCCACGAGGCGCGTTGTTGCTCCCAGCCCGCATTTTGCGGGACTAATCTCACTGACTCATAAAAGAATTGAAGCCCCGGGGGGCTCGAACCCAACCTTTCGGTTAACAGCCGAAACGCCGCTAGACCATTGCGCACACGGAGGCCGCGTTGTTTTGGCTCCCGAGTCCCCGCACTTTGCGGAGACTAATCTCACTGACTTCATAAAAGAATTGAACGCCCCCGGGTGGGCTCGAACCACCAACCTTTCAGTCAACAGCGAACGCGCTAGCCCATTGCGCCACGAAGGCGGTTGTTGCTCCCAGGTCCCTTCATTTTGGGGGACTAATCTCACTGACTTCATAAAAGAATTGAACGCCCCCGGGTGGGCTCGAACCACCAACCTTTCGGTTAACAGCCGACGCGCTAGCCCATTGCGCCACGGAGGCGGTTGTTTGACTCGAGTCCCGCATTTTACGGAGGACTTATCTCGCTGACTTCATAAAAGAATTGAACGCCCCCGAGTGGGCTCGAACACCAACCTTTCGCGTTAACAGCGAACGCGCTAGCCCATTGCGCCACGGAGGCGCGGTTGTTGACTCCCGAGTCCCCGCATTTGCGGCGACTAATCTCACTGACTTCATAAAAAGAATTGAACGCCCCCCGGGTGGGCTCGAAAACTCCAACCTTTCGCTTAACAGCCGAAACGCGCTAGGACCATTGCCCCAGGAGGCGTTGTTGGCTCCGAGTCCCTTCAATTTTGCCCCGGCGACTAATCTCACTGACTTCATAAAAGAATTGAACGCCCCCGGTGCGCCGAACACCAACTTTCGGTCATAGCCGAACGCGCTAGCCCATTGCGCCACGAGGCGGTTGTTGGCTCCCAAGTCCCTTCATTTTGGGGCAACTAATCTCACTGACTCATAAAAGAATTAAACGCCCCGGGTGGGCCTCGAAGCACCAACCTTTCGCGTTAACAGCCGAACGCGCTAGCCCATGGCCCACGGAGGCGGTTTTGGTGGCTCCCGAGTCCCCGCATTTGCGGAGACTTAATCTCACTGACTTCATAAAAGAATTGAACGCCTCGGGTGGGCTCGAACACCAACCTTTCGGTTAACAGCCGAACGCGCTAGCCCATTGCCGCACGGAGGCCGGTTCTTGCACTCCGAGTCCCCGCATTTTGCGGGAGACTAATCTCGCTGACTTTTAAAAAGGAATTGAACGCCCCCGGGTGGGCTCGAACCACCAACCTTTCGGGTTAACAGCCGAACGCGCTAGACCATTGCGCCACGGAGGCGGTTGTTGGTCCCGAGTCCGCACTTTGCGGAGACTAATCTCACTGACTTCAAAAAGAATCGAACGCCCCGGGGGCTCGAACCTCCAACCTTTCGGTTAACAGCCGAACGCGCTAGCCCATTGCGCCACGGTGGCGGTTGTTGATTCCCGAGTCCCGCATTTTGCGGCGACTTATCTCACTGACTTCATTAAAAGAATTGAACGCCCCCCGGGTGGGCTCGAACCACCACAACCTTTCGGTTAAACAGCCGAACGCGCTAGCCCAGTTGCGCCACGGAGGCGTTTGTTGCTTTCCCGAGTCCCCGCATTTTGCGGAGACTAATCTCACTGACTTCATAAAAGAATTGAACGCCCCCGGGTGGGCTCGAACCACCACCTTTGGTCATCAGCCAGAACGCGCTAGCCCATTGCGCCACGTAGGCGGTGTTTGGCTCCAAGTCCCTTCCATTTTGGGGCAAACTATCACTGACTTCATAAAAGAATTGAACGCCCCCGGGTGGGCTCGAAGCACCAACCTTTTCGGTTAAACAGCCGACGCGCTAGCCATTGCGCACGGAGGCGGTTGGTGGCTCCCGAGTCCCCGCACTTTGCGGGAGGGACTAATCTCACTGACTTCATAAAAGAATTGAACGCCCCCGGGGTGGGCTCGACCACCAACCTTTCGTTTAACAGCCGAACGCGCTAGCCATATGCGCCACGGTGGAGCGGTTGTTATGATTCCCGAAGTCCCGCATTTTGCGGCGACTAATCTCACTGATTCATAAAAGAATTGAAAACGCCCCCCGGGTGGGCTCGAACCACCAACCTTTCGGTTAACAGCCGAAACGGCGCTAGCCATTGCGCCACGGAGGCGGTTGTTGGCTCCCGAGTCCCTTCATTTTGCGGGCGGACTAATCTCACTGACTTCATAAAAGATATGAACGCCCCCGGGTGGGCTCGGAACACCAACCTTTCGGTTAACAGCGAACGCGCTAGCCATTGCGCCACGGAGGCGTTTGTTGACTCCCGAGTCCCGCATTTTTGCGCGACTAACCTCACTGCACTTCAATAAAAGATTGAACGCCCCCGGGTTAGGACTCGAACCACACCTTTCGGAACAGCCGAACGCGCGTATCTCT